AAAAAAAAAAAAAAAAAAAAAAACCCACAAAAAAACACAAAACAGCAATTGAAAACCCTCTGGGTTGAGAGTTTCACAGCAAGCACAGCTGAACCCGGGACGGTCCAGCTCCGTGGGGGAGGGGTGTCCGCCATTACCAAGACACCACTATAGAGGTAGTCCGCAATCACTGAGGCAGCCCACCGTCGCCAAGCAACCTGCCATTACAGAGAGAGTCCGCCATTACAGAGGTGAACCACCATTGCAAAGGCAGTTCTAACTACACCCATATAAACAGGACTGCAGGGAAGATCACACAGAAGCTGGGCAGAGTCCACAGCAGCTCAGCAAAGCCTCTGCAGGCAGGCAGTGACTAGGCTGCCTCTTCGCTGGGCAGGACAGCCCTGAAAGAAAAAAAAAAGGCAGCAGCACAACGGAAACTCATAAATACAGCCCTAACTCCCTGGGACAGAGCATCTGGGGAAAAAAAAGGAGTTTATGAGTTCTGCTGCAGCAGACCTAAACGTACCTGCCCAGCAACTCTGAATGAATGACGGAGCTTACTGCTCAGCACTTGAGCTCCAATAAAGGACAAACTGTCTCCTCAAGCAGCTCCCCGACCTCCGTATGGCCAAAGAGTCACCTCATAAAGGAGAGAAAAGACTGACATTTGGCGGGTATCATTCTGGGACAAAGATAGCAGAAGAAGAAACTGGTAGCAACCCTTACTGTTCTGCAGCTGCTGCAGGTTATCCCCAGGCAAGCAGGGCCTGGAGTGGACCTCAGCAGTCCTACAGCAGAGGGGCCAGACTGTCAGAAGGAAAACCAAGAAACAGAAATAACCTCATCGTCAACAAACAGAACGTCCACTCAGAGACCCAATCTGAAAGCCAGCAACTACAAAGATGACAGGTGGATAAATCCACAAAGATGGGAAGAAACCAGCACAAAAAGAATGAAAACACCCGAAACCAGAACACCTCTCCTCCTACAAGGGATCACAACTCCTCACCAGCAAGGGAACAAGGCTGGATGGAGAAGGAGTGTGATGAAATGACAGAATCAGACTTCAGAAGGTGGGTAATAAGAAACCTCTGTGAGCTAAAAGAACGTGTTCTAACCCAATGCAAATAAACTAAGAACTCTGAAATAAGATTTGACGACATGCTAATGACAATGGACAATTTAGAGAGGAATATAAGTGAATTGATGGAGCTGAAAAACACAACACGAGAATTTTGCGAAGCATGCTCAAGTTTCAACAGCCGAATTGACCAAGCAGAAGAAAGGATAACAAAGATAGAAGAACAACTCAATGAAATAAAACAAGAAGGAAAGAATAGAGAAAAAAGGGTAAAAAGGAATGAACAAAGTCTCCAAGAAATGTGGGACTATGTGAAAAGACCTAATCTACGTTTGATAGGTGTACCTGAATGTGATGAAGAGAATGAATCCAAGCTGGAAAATACTCTTCAGGATATTATCCAGCAAAACTTCCCCAACCTAGCAAGGCAGGCCAATATTCAAGTCAAGGAAATACAAAGAACACCACAAAGACATTCCTCAAGAAGAGCAACCCCAAGGCACATAATCATCAGATTCACCAGGGTGGAAATGGAGAAAATGCTAAGGGTAGCCAGAGAGAAAGGTCAGGTTGCTCACAAAGGGAAGCCCATCAGACTCACAGCAGATCTCTCAGCAGAAACCCTACAAGCCAGAAGAGAGTGGGGCACAATATTCAACATTCCTAAAGAAAAGAACTTTCAACCCAGAATCTCCTATCCAGCCAAACTAAGCTTCATAAGTGAAGGGAAAATGAAATCCTTTGCAAATAAGCAAGACTCAGAGATTTCATCACCACCAGGCCTGCTTTACAAGAGCTCCTGAAAGAGGCCCTACACATGTAAAGGAATAACCAGTATCAGCCACTCCAAAAACATACTAAATGGCAAAGAGCATCAACACAATCAAGAATCTGCATCAACTAACAGGCAAAACAGCCAACTAGCATCAAAATGGCAGTATCAAATTCACACATAACAATATTAACCCTAAATGTAAATGGACTAAATGCCCCAATCAAAAGACACAGACTGGCAAATAAATAAAAAGCCAAAAGCCATCGGTGTGCTGTATCCAGGAAACCCAACTCACATGCAAGGATACACAAAGACTCAAAATAAAGGGATGGAGGAAGATTTACCAAGCAAATGGAGGGCAAAAAAAAAGCAGGAGTTGCAATTCTCATCTCTGATAAAATAGACTTTAAAACAACAAAGATCAAAAGAGACAAAGAAGGACATTACATAATGGTAAAAGGATCAATGCAACAAGGAGAGCTAACGATCCCAAATATATACACACCCAATACAGGAGCACCCAGATACATAAGACAACTTCTTAGTGACTTACAAAGAGACTGACTCCCACACAATAATAGTGGGAGACTTTAACACCCCATTGTCAATATTAGAAAGATCAACAAGACAGAAAATTAACAAGGATATCCAGGACTTGAACTCAGACCTGGAACAAGCAAACCTAATAGACATTTACAGAACTCTCCAACCCAAATCCACAAATATACATTCTTCTCAGCACCACATCACACCTACTCTAAAATTGACCATGCAATTGGAAGCAAATCACTCCTCAGCAAATGCAAAATAATGGAAATCATAACAAGCAGTCTCTCAGACCACACTGCAATCAAGTTAGAACTCAAAGCGCAGAAACTAATTCAGAACCGTACAGCTTCATGGAAACTGAACAACTGGCTCTTGAATGTTGACTGGATAAACAATGAAATGAAGGCAGAAATAAAGATGTTCTTCGAAACCAACGAGAACAAAGACACAACATACCAGAATCTCTAGGACACATTTAAAGCAGTCTCTAGAGGAAAATATATAGCAATAAGTGCCCACATGAGAAGCAAGGAGAGATCTAAAATTGACAGCCTATCATCAAAATTGAAAGGGCTAGAGGAGCAAGATCAAAAAAACTCAAAACCTAGCAGAAGACAAGAAATAACTAAGACCAGAGCAGAACTGAAGGAGATAGAGACACAAAAAACCCTTCAAAAAAACCAATAAATCCAGGAGCTGGTTTTTCAAAAAGATTAACAAAATAGACTGACCACTGGCCAGATTAATAAAAAAGAAAACAGAGAATAATCCAATAGATGCAATAAAAAAACAATAAAGGGGATATCGTCACAGATTCCACAGAAATTCAAACCATCATCAGAGATTATTACAAACAACTCTATGCACATAAACTAGTAAACCTGGAAGAAATGGATAAATTCCTGGATACTTGCCTCCTCCCAAGCCTAAACCAGGAAGAAGTCGAAACCCTGAATAGACCAATAACAAGGTCTGAAGTTGAGGCAGCAATTAAGAGCCTACCACCCAAAAAAAGCCCAGGTCCAGATGGGTTCACAGCCGAATTCTACCAGACATACAAAGAGGAGCTGGTACCATTCTTTCTGAAACTATTCCAAATAATCCAAAAAGAGGGAATCCTTCCCAAATCATTTTATGAGACCAACGTCATCCTGATACCAAAACCCGGCAGAGACTCAACAAGAAAAGTAAACTTCAGGCCAATATCCATGATGAACACAGATGCAAAAATCTTCAATAAAATACTGGCAAGCCGATTGCAACAGCACATCCAAAAGCTTATCCACCATGATGAAGTAGGCTTCATCCCAGGATGCAAGGCTGGTTCAACATACGCAAGTCTATAAACGTTATGCACCACATAAACGGAACCAAAGACAAAAACCACATGGTTATCTCAATTGATGCAGAGAAGGGCTTTGACAAAATTCAACAGCCCTTTACACTAAAGACCTTCAATAAACTAGGTATTGACGGAACATATCTCAAAATAATAAAAGCTATTTATGACAAACCAACAGCCAATATCATACTGAATGGGCAAAAACTGGAAGCATTCCATTTGAAATCTGGCACTAGACAAGGATGCCCTCTCTCACCACTCATATTCAATGTAGTACTGGAAGTTCTAGCCAGAGCTATCGGGCAAGAAAAAGAAATAAAGGGTATTCAAATAGGAAAGGAGGAAGTCAAATTGTCTCTATTTGCAGATGACATGATTGCATATCTAGAAGACCCCATCGTCTCAGCCCAAAATCTCCTGAAACTGATAAGCAACTTCAGCAAAGTCTCAGGATAAAAAATCAGCGTGCAAAAATCACAAGCATTCCTATACACCAATAACAGACTTAAAGAGAGCCACATCAATAACGAACTGCCATTCACAGTTGCTCCAAAGAGAATAAAATACCTAGGAATACAACTAACAAGGAACGTAAAGGACCTTTTCAAGGAGAATTACAAGCCACTGCTCAACAAAATAAGAGAGGACACAAACAGATGGAGAAACATTCCATGTTCATGGTTAGAAAGAATCCATATTGTGAAAATGGCCATAGTGCC